GTAGCGTTGTATTCCGTAACGCGGCTGAATCTACTGCTGTCCTTCCAGCTGATCGCATGTTGGACGATCTTCAGTGGTTTAAAATGTGTGTAACGAAGCTTCTTCAGTCTGGTTTTCCAGGCGTTACTGTCAGGAAGCTGATTAGACTGGGGAACGTCCCAGTTAACGTACCAAACCCGCGACCGCGGCTACTACGTGTGGTACTATCTACCCCGGAGGAACGCAATGCTCTCATGCTGTTTACTTTTGAGCTGAAAGGTACAAAAATTAGCGTTCAGCCGGTCCTTCCGCTAGTCAATAGGCCGAAGCTAAGGGAGGCAATCAAGGACCTCAAAAGCAGGCGAGCGGCCGGTGAACATGGTCTCCGGTTAGTGGGTTTTCGGGTGGTCAGCCGGCGGTCTGTTTCCGCTCTACCACTGCCCACTCTGGTAGCGCACGACCCAGGTCTGGATCTAACGAAAAACTTCAGGTAGTTCTAAGTAATGTGCGCAGCCTAAGGAATAAGGTGTACGAGTTAGGTCTGCTTGTAGATGGGTCTCATCCCGATATACTCGCATTCACTGAAACGTGGCTGTCTCAGGATATCACGGATGGTGAAGTACATCTATCTGACTACGCACTATTTAGATGCGATCGCTCTGCTGGCCGACAGGGAGGGTGCGTCGCTCTTTATTTGAGCTGTAAACTTGACGTTTTGAAGACTTGCTTATTTCAGTCGGCAGACAAAACGGTTGAAGCTCTATCGGTTGTTATTAGCACCTCCTGGGCTCAGGTTACAGTTGTACTTGTGAATAGAAGCCCCGGGAGCATATCCAAAGAGGTACTTGAATTCATTCGCTCCCAGTCCGCAAATAAGTGTTTGGTGATGGGCGACTTCGACCTCCCAGAGATTTGCTGGGCAGATCTTACTTGCGACTCAGCGTCAGGCACATTCGGCGCTGAGCTGCTTGAACTTACGCTCCAAGTATCTTTGCACCAGTTCGTTGACCTCCCCACTAGGTACATGGACGTCCAAGTACCGTCTATCTTAGACCTTGTATTTGCTAAGTCACTCGGTTTTGTTGGTGACATTACTTAAGGACCTCCACTGGGTTCCAGTGATCATGTTCGTTTGCTCTTCAGTTGTACTGTTTCTAGACGCTACCAGAGTACTGTTGAGTCTCGCCCGAACATAAGGCAAGCAGACTATCAATCAATGAGAACCAAGGCTTCTGGTTTCTATTATGAAATCTCAGGCGACGATACTGTCCAGGTTGCCTGGGATAAATTTAAGTCTTACCTCACAGAGGTCTCTGCTCCCTTCATCCCAGTCAGAAGGAGAAAGGAGGCCCGAGCACAGCCGCCCTGAATAGATCCCACTGGCAGTCATCTGCTCACAAAGAGGTCTAGATGTTGTCGGACATACCGAGATGCTCCGTCCACCGATACTTATGACAGGTACCGTAAGGCTAGAAATAGGTGTAAGCAACACCTAAGGAATGCTCGGTTAGCGGACGAAGCTTCAGAGAATCCAAAAAGATTCTTCGCTTATGTCAAAAGGCGCTGCGCTTCGAACATGTTAATTCCAGTATTGATGCGTGATGACGATATTCATGCGCACACAAATTATGACAAGGCCTGCGTACTCAGTGGGCAATATGCGGCAGCGTTTGTGAGGGAAACCTCTTTGACAGGCGTTGAGCTGGTTTGCTGGACCCCAGAGGGTTCAGAACTATCTAACTATGGCTGGCTGGCCGAACAACCTCCTCGTGGTGCCAGCTGGGTGGATTGGGTTTACCCCTTCCAGCAAATAGTTCGGCGGCAGTGTTCCAGGACGTGGAGAGTTTCCGCCTGGCAAGCGTTCTCCCTATAAAAAGCCACAAATGTCCGCTTAACAACACTGTGACGTGGCGGTTGTGACTCGCCACCAACTAAAGTCACCCATTGCTTATCCGGACGACCGCTTCAAGTCCACAGCCATCAAGCACCCATTTAACACTGGCCACACGTTCAAGCACGATCAAAAAGACTGGAATACATTTACGAACCCCATAAACACGGCTAAACACGCCCACATACACACTTACATACATTTATATATCAACCTATGCGACAATCTCATTGATCCATTGTACATTGACTGATCACAGTTTGTACTCTTAACATGATCATGTCTGTGCAGACGTGCCTCGCTTAGTCGAGAATAAACATTTTATTTATTAATTTATTTTATCTGAATTTATTGTAGCGGAGACTTCAGTTCGTAGGCTGTAACAAGGGCTGAACCATTCTAAGGCCTCTGGGCCTGATTTAATTCACCCGAAACTGTTGCATGCGTTGGCTGCGGAACTAAGTGGACCGCTCGCTATTGTGTTTCAGAAATCGCTTGACAGTTGTGCATTGCCTTCCGAATGGAAGAAAGCTGTCACTTGTCCCATTTCAAACATGGGGACAGGGGTCTTCCTGCAAATTACAGGCCAGTTAGTCTGACGATTGTAGTAGTCAAACTCCTCGAGAAACTGGTGAAAGATTCATTGGAGAGTCATCTGAGTAGAAAAAATCTACTTAGCAATGTACAACACGGATTCCGGAATGGATTTTCGTGTCTGAAGAATCTGTTGGTGGCTCGCGAAAATTGGGCGGATGCAGTGGATAACGGCCACCCACTGGACGTGCTTTCTGTCGACTTTTCGAAGGCATTTGACAAGGTACCGAATTTGAGGTTCGCGCAAAAGCTGTCCTCCTACGGGGTATCTGGCCGCGCCCTTCATTGGGTGACTGTCTTCTTGGAGAGTAGAGAACAGTGTGGACGGGTAGGCCGGGGCCTATCATTTAGACAGTCTGTCCTCAGCGGCGTGCCGCAACGCTCTTTCCTTGGACCGCTGTTGTTCTCTATCTATGTGAATGACCTACCCGCGGAGCTTGAGGTTCCATCGCTGCTATTTGCTGATGACCTGAAGCTGTGGAACATTGTTTAGGTTCCTGGGGGTTCCGAAGTTATTCCGCGAGCATTGGATAAGCTTTGGGACTGGTCTACTTTATGGTTACTGCCCATAAATCAGGCAGTGTTCCGTTCGCGAATTGGACGAGGTTGTCCTCCTGCGAAGTACTTGGTCGGTGGGGTCGAACTCCACCGTGTATCTAGCCAGGTTGACCTAGGCGTCGTAAACTCTTCGGCTTTACACTCCGGCGACAACTGGAAGAAGGCCACAAGCAGAGGTTTCCGCATGTTGTGGTTAATCCGACGTGCTTTCGGAGTCTTGACGGGCGGCATCTTTACAAGGCTGTTCTCGGCTTTCGTTTGGCCTCATCTGGAATACTGTCTCCAGACTTGTACGCCCTGCCTTGTCCGGGACAAAGTGGAGCTAGAGAGGGTTTTACGAGTGGGTACTAGGTTAGTCGAGGGATTACGGGGACGGACGTACCCCGAGCGTCTACTTAGTTTGGGAATTCATTCAATGCATTACCGAAGGCATAGAGGAGACCTAATCCTAACCTACCGTATCTTGACTGGGAAGGTTGGTCCAGAGTTATCTTGCCTATTCAGTCCCGCTAGATTGTCTGTTCTACGCGGTCATTCTTTGAAGATGGACAAACCGCGGTCCGATCGGATTACGGCGGAAATCCGGCTGTCACGCAGAGTCATCGACCGCTGGGACATGCTTCCGGAAAGTGTTATCAGAGAATCTACGGTCAAGGGATTTGAGCGGCAACTTAACGCTCCTGGGTGGCAACACGAAACCTTTCCATTTTCCTGAGTAACTCGCATCTTCGTACTTCGATTTTCTTTTCTCTACTTTTCTTCACGTATTGGTATTATTTTCTTATTCAAGTGTACTTCCTTATTCTGTATCTTCGATTTCTCTTCCTATCCTTTGCTTACTTCACGTGACTGCCACAGCAGGGACTGCTAGGGCAGGAAACGTGGGCATTAACTGGGTGGCCAGGGTGCGATACGGGTGTTTCCGTTTTAGATCCATCAATAACTGAGCACTTCATCAATTCCTGTCTCAACGATACACTCAAGCTGGAACACTCACGGGATTCTCCTATCATTCCAGTCCCCATCTAAACTGAACTGAAAATTACCCACCTTGCTCTAGGTTAAAATTGAAACTAGGTGTGCATATCATACAACTTATCTCCGTGTGTTTGCACCTATTCACTGCAAAATTAATTCGTTATCCTGCTATTCTACTGCATTTCTTTCCAAGTTGCCCTACTTTGCAGCTAATTATTCCATCTAGGGCACTTAGACTGCACCCACACACATACCTTTGGGACCACTAATTATACGGACACCTAGGACTTGGATTTTTATAGATGCGGCTTCATATTTACCCACTTGTTAACCGCTAAGTATAAATTTCGCATTTTATAATGATTCATAAAAAAGTCATTTACGTTTGTATTCTGCTGCCTTTTGTTGTTTTTTATTAACACGGTTAACATTGCAGAATAAAATCTAGCCAAACCACGCATAAATCTATAGAACACCGAAGTCGTTAGACGCTGGGAAACGATTGAATGTGGTTTTTGTAGACTTCAGCAAGGCGTTTGACAAGGTCCCCCATGAAAGGCTCCTTCTTAAACTCCGAGGTACCGGTGTCTCTGGGAATGTCCTTTCCTGGATCGCTGATTTCTTGAATGGCCGGACCATGCGAGTCAAGGTGAATGAAGCCCACTCCACTCCTGTGCTGATGACTAGCGGTGTTCCGCAAGGGTCAGTACTTGGTCCAGAACTGTTCAAGATATTCATCAATGATCTTCCATCGGAGCTTCAGATGGATTGCCTGGTTTACGCCGATGATATGAAGCTGTGGATGGAGGTAACCTGTCTTGAGGATGCTGACAGATTGCAGGCATCATTGGACAATCTACACGACTGGTCAGTCAACTGGCAATTGCCCATAAATTGTGAAAAATGCTCAGTTCTCCCCATAGGCGCCCTCGAACCGTTCGGGATATACCATATTGGTGGGGTGTTACTCAGAACCACCACTCTTGAAAAAGATCTCGGTGTGCTTGTCTCACATGATTTACGGACCTTAGAAGACACACTACGGAGGGTTGCCTCTGCCACCAGGATGTCCCATGCCATACGAAGAGCCTTTTCGAGACTGACTCCGGAAATTTTCAGAATCTTGTTTACTTCTCATGTGCGCCCGATCCTTGAATACGGACTACCCGCAATCTGTCCTCTTACCAGGTTCGAGTGTAACATGATTGAGAAGGTACAGCGGCGTGCCTCGAAATCCATACTGGAGTTAAGGGACTTGCCTTACCCTCATCGACTACAGCGGATGCACCTGTTCTCCCTGGAATATCGCCGACGTAGAGGTGATCTAATTTTTACTAGGCGAATTCTGATGGGGGAAATGGGGACGGAGCTACAAGCGTTCTTTCAAGTCAACACTAATAGTTCCACTCGGGGGCACAACTGGAAACTATATAAAACCAGAAGACTCAGAGTTCGCTCCACTCTTGCTCTATCAACCCGCATTGTCAATGACTGGAACGACTTGCCGAAACATGTGGTCGACGCGCAATCGGAGGAATGTTTCAAGCGATTTTTGGATTCTCACTTGATGAGTAAGCTGGGACCCTGCTTCTTCCAATGTAGCTGTTACGGCCCCTTGTGGAATACCGTCTCGTAGCGACTCACGGCATCCACGCAATGATCGGGAAGTGAAGGAGCTGACAAAGGACTTTCCTTCTGCTCTCTACAATCCAATGATCCAATGATCCAATGAAGTCAGCCGTCCAGATGGACAAGGGATCGTTTGATTGCACCATGGCGGGTTCACTTGAATTCGCTCTGCATCGTGTTCTGAACCGCATCATTTAGCTGACTCATGAAACGTCTTATACTATAAAGGTAAAATTTTGTAATTTTATTTTAATAAGACAATTTTATCAATATATATAAATTTAAGAAAAAATCATTTAATGGTTGCACTTATATACGTCTATTTAATCGTGCGCCTACAAAGCTATGCTCCTACATTTTCACACAAACAAGTATTTATTAATACACGGCTGTATATCAACAAAAACATTAGAACAATTTGCAGTAAATGCTCGGCAGCTACGTCAAACCTGTACTGCAGGGTTCCCGCCTGGCGAGTAATTTTTCGGCGTTGTGCACTCCGCGATTGGTCAACAGTGTGAGTTCATTTTGTCATTGTAATAATTGTATGGTAGAGAGCAGATGAAGAGTCCTTTATCAGCTCCATCGCTTTCCAGTCATTGTGGACATTGCTGGAGTCATTTCGAAAATAGGGATTTACAATGAACCTTAAAGCTGTGTTGTGAAGCTACGTGCAAGGGTTTCAGAATGTTGTGGATGATCCGCAGGGCATTCGGGACCATCACGGGAGCTATGTTTGTTAGGTTATTCTCAGCGTTTGTCAGGCCACACTTGGAATACTGCATCCAGGCTTGTCCACCTTGCTTAGTCAGGGACAGGATGTCAGTGGAGAGAGTGTTGAGAGTTGGAACCAAACTGGTCCATGGACTGCGGAACCATTCTTACCCAGAAAGACTACTTGCGCTGGGGATGTTCTCGATGCACTATCGTCAACATCGAGGCGACCTAGTCTTGACCTATCGTATACTTACCGGTAAAACCGGACCCGATTTATCCGGGCTTTTCCAACCGGCTCGGCTTCCATCGCTCCGCGGTCACTCGCTGAAGCTACACAAACCTCGATCGGATGGAGTCCGGGCGGACTTTCGTTTATCACGCCGAGTGGTGGATTCCTGGAATGCACTGCCCGAAAACGTGGTATTGGCACCAACGGTGAAAGAGTTCGAACACCGACTCGACGCTCTTGGCCTTCAATTCTTAACATTCCCCTTCACTTCCTAGTTTATTTGTTTTATTGAAACATTAAATCTTTTTTTTCTTGACGCTCTTATTACTTTCGTACTTCTTTTTCTTATTTCACGTGACCGGTGCGGCGGGGACTGCCAGTGCAGGTCGCGTGGGTATTAATTGGTTGACCGTGGTGGGATTCGCGCGCGCTGATCTGACTCTTCTGGATTCCAGTTATCGCGGACGAATAATACTCTGGATCAACGACGCGTCACGGAAGGAACATTCACGGGGACTTATCCTACTGTTCCGGTCCCACTTGAACTTGAACTTGAATATCTAGGCACGCTTATCAAGTGCTAATCCAAGTTTCTTGAAGCTCCTCGGGCTGCGCATCAACGACGAGCTCCGGAAGCCGATTCCATTCATTAACCGTGCGCGAGGATAGAGCTAGTTCTGACCGCACATGTGGTCTCCTCGACTTGAACAGTTTCCATTTGTGACCACGTGTCGAACTTTCAGTGTTCAGATGAAAGAATTGCTGTATTTCGCTTTCCAACTCTGTTCTTAGGGTACGTCGAGTGTAGATCAAATCGCCTTGATGACGCCGGTAATCCGGAGAGAAAATGTTTAATCGCTGGAGACGGAGAGGATTAGGCACCGCATCTCTGACACATTTAGCTCCACGGTGTTGAACCTTCTTAATCATAATGCATTCGGCCTTCGTGAGAGGCTATGCAGCTGACAAACGGTACGCGAGAATTGGGCGCACATGTGAGGCAAACAGGAGTCTGAAGAGTTCTGGAGTGCTTGTCGTGTTTCACCGTTCGTGATTTTATTCACCGAAATCCTGGTTTGAGAACAGTAGTTGAATAACACTGCACAGAAAATTTGGCTTTTGTCACTTTTCTTGTGATCCGAAAGGACTTGGAAGTGCCAAATTACCGGCCTGCTTGTCGTGTTTCATCGTGCGAGTTCTTCGACAAATACCTTGCTCTTGGGTGGCAACAGCAAACCTTTCCTTTTTCCTAGCTGACTCACCTTCATTTTTCAGTTCTTTTTTATTGACTCAAATATCTTGGTATTCCATTTGCTTAGCTCTTACCACTTTCTCTTTTGCCTCCTGCGTTTACTTTTTTCTCTTTCTTACTTCACGTAACCGACCCAGCAGGGACTGCTAGGGCAGGATACGTGGGCATTAATTGGTTGGACAGGGTGTGATGCGGTCTTTGTTTTAGGTCCATCAGTATTTCAAAGTTCGCTAACTCCTGGTTCAACGACCCGCCGAAGAAGGAACACTCACGGGATCTATCCTATCGTTCCAGTCCCGCTTGAACTTGAACTTGAACCTTGTTTTAAAACTATTTGGATAGCACTGCACAAAACTTGAACTTTTGACAGTTCTCTGTGCTTCAAAAGGACTCCGAAATCCTAACGTACTCGCAATATC